CGGTTAACATGAAATTGAATCTAAGCATGAGGTAATCCATTCACCTAGGGTTAGGGATTTTGATTCTTGTTTCAAATTATGAGGAATGTGTTTTGTTCAATCTATACGAGTTGTGTGAATTATATGGTTAGTTGATTGATCACCATTCTAACCTTGTTGATCGATGTTTAGAACCGAGAGGGGAGACGTCGGTCGATTTAGGCTCGTATAGAGTAGACATGTTCGTAAAAGTATTGTCTATGTGTTGCTTGTTTGAATGAGTTTATCGTTTATGTTTGTGCTCTTGTTACAAAGAGTTATTGAGCATAACCCTCTAGACGTGTAGGCTTGTTAAATCTCGTAACCGAACAAATAAGCGTTCAACATAGTTTAAGACTAGAACTTCTTCTTTTTCTCTAGAAATTTAATTGTTATTTCTTTAAATTATTTTTTTAGTTCTAGCTTGTTTTAGTTGATTCCCCAAATCAATCGTGATTAGAGTTTTTAGGACTTATTTTATTTTCGTGTGTGATCAAGACCAACGCTAAATTCCGAACCGTCTTCCTCGAGAGATCGACCCGGGGAACGAATCTTTTGATTTGGTACTCGGTAAAAAAATAAAATAATTTGCTACAACACTCCCGTTTTGGTTTTTTTATGGAATGACATGTTTAACATTGTATCTTGGTCATATATCACCTTTGAATGATAGTTTGGACCCGTTAGAGCGTTGAAATACTCATAACGAAACTCTTTTTGTTAAATAACTATACTTGTTTTTTTTTTTGTTCTTGAATAATGGATATATGATGTAAAATCTTTGTACATTCCCTATTTTACATGAAAGATGAGTAAAATTGTATCTATAACGAGTGTAATATCTTTATAATGGATTATATAACGAGTTTTAAATAACCATTTTTGTTGAAATCCTCACAACGAATGATTTTTTGTTAAATAACTATACTTGTTTTTTTTCCGTTACGATTTTTACCATAATGATTTTTTTTTTTAAATAACCATAACCATAATGAATGTACATTCATTATGATATATGAAATAACGAATGTACATTCGTTATGGTTCTTTTTCGATCAAATACAACTATAACGATTCGACCTTCGTTATATAATACATTATAAACATATTACTCTTGTTATAGGTCTAATTTTAGTCATTTTTAAGGTAAAATAACGAATGTATAATGATTCTTCATTATCAATCCATGTCCAAAAAGAAAACAAGTTTGATTATTTCAAAAAAAGAGTTTCGTTATGAGTGTTTCGACACTATAACGGGTTTAAACTATCGTTCCAATGTGATATATGATGAATATACAATCGTTATCACGTCATTCTTCATAAAGATTTTATATTCTTCATATAGCAGATTCTTCATTCTTCATTTTGATGGAATGCCGTGATAAAGATTTTATATTCTTCATATAGCATATTGGAACGATAGTTTAAACCCGTTATAGTGTCGAAACACTCATAACGAAACTCTTTTTTCAAAATAACCATACTTTTTTTCTTTTTGGACATGGATAGATAATGAAGAATCGTTATACATTCATTATTTTAAATTCAAAATGACTAAAATTATACCTATAACAAGAGTAATATGTTTATAATGTATTATATAACGATGGTCAAATCGTTGTAGTTGTATTTGATCGAAAAAGAACCATAACGAATGTACAGTCGTTATAATGGTTCTTTTTCATAACGAACGTACTTTCATGTGAGAAAGAAGCCAGATTTTTTCAATTTTATACTGTCGGTTCGTTGCAGGCGCGGTGCCAATCGCGGGCGCAACACTCTCGCTCACATAATTTTAAAGATATTACTCTCGTTCGAGTCATAATTTTATCATTTTTAATGTAAAATATACTAGTATAACGATTTTTCATTATCTATCTATTTCTAAAACGAACTAAGTATCGTTATTTCATAAAACGAGTTTCGTTATAGGTATAATTTTAGTCATTTTTAATGTAAAATATACTAGTATAATGATTCTTCATTATCTATCCATTTCCAAAAAGAAACAAGTATCGTTATTTCAAAAAATGAGTTTCGTTTTAAGTATTCCGACACTATAACGGGTTTAAACTATCGTTCTATATTATATATTACGAAGATACAATCGTTAACACATTATTCCACGGGTATTTATAGATGTTATAACACATTTTCAGGGGGTTCAAAGCATCAAAAGACACCTTTTGGGATGTGCCCGGTCGATTAAAACCGGATAAAAACCTGTCCAAAATGAACATGTGCGTCAGGGTCGCGAACTCGTCACGCCCGCGACGCCCTGTCGCGTTTTATAGAAGTTCTGGAAGAAGGGTTGTCGCGCCCGCGACAGACGACGCGCCCGCGACAGTCCTGGTGCTCAGAGTGTCGCGCTCGCGACAGACCCTAACGCGCAACTGCGCTCCGGGAGCTTGTACGCGTTCGTTCGGACTCGGAATTTAGTTTCATTTTTTCCTACTTGTCCCCAACGAACCCTTCTACAATCCTAGCATATATAATACTTGATTGTGGCTCGTTTAAATTTTCCATACATTTGTCAAAATATAATGTTTGTGAACCCTACAACATTTGAGTTACTTAAACTCAATTATTCAACATATAACACTTAGAATTAATTTCTCATTCTTTTGAGAATTTTCTAAGTCTTCTACTTACGGAAAATGAAACCATATCGGTACAAAATCACTTTTTCCCTACAATATATAACGAAGATAGAATCGTTAACACGTCATTACATCAAACTATAACCATAACGAGAGAACATTCGTTATGCTTTTCAACATAACGAATGTATCTTCGTTATTTCATACATCATAGCGAATGTACTTTCGTTATGATTATTTTTTTTTCTGGTCGATTAAGAATCACAAAAAATCAAGCAACTAAAATTACCAAGAACACAAAATTAAGAATTACAAAAATCAAGCAACTAAAATTACCCTAGGCATCACATAAGAATCACAAAAGGGATCACATGAATAAGGTTGAAATTAAGAAACACATGAATAATTGCTATTTCAGATACACCAAAATTTACAAAACCCACNGAGGGGCCAGGCGACTGCGAAAGGGTGTGAACATGGAGAGGGCGAGAGAGGACAAGGAAGAAAAAAAACAGAGTGCAAGAAAGAGCAAGGAAGAAGAAAGCAAGAGAGAGAGAGGGGGGCTAGCTATCGAAAAGAAAGAAGAAGAAAGCATGAACGTTATGCAAAAATGCAAAAAACTAATTACAAACGCTCCTAAGACTAGCGTTTTGTATTTGGCGGTTTAGGAGCAAAAAGCTGAATGAAAATGGTAACTTACCAAACAACATTTTCAGCTGATTGAAGTAGTCAAACAAGCCAAATATTCAAAAAGCTCATTTTTAGTTCAAACGCTATTTTCCAAATGCAGCCGTATCATAAGTATAACTCAGCGGATTGACAATTAACTAATCTTCCTCATTGTTGATGAGTGTTTCACGGAGACCATATAACAGCTGAACAAGATCACATATATGTGCCAAAAAAAATTTAGTTAGGAATTAGGATCATCTCATCAGCCTTTAGGTCTCTGTTTATGAACCATTGATCATTACCAATCTTCAATCTATATATTAGGTAAACTTGAATGCCCGTTTTGCCGACTCAAGAGTGTTATAAAGCAGCATAGCAACAGTCATAGGCCCAACTCCTCCAGGCACAGGAGTAATTGCACAGGCTTTTGTAATTGCTTCCTTAAAACAAACGTCTCCAACCAGCCGGTAACCATGCTCGCTTTTCTCATTCTGCAAAACGAATTCACGGCTATGTTGGATAAAACTAACCTACGGTAAAAATATATTAGTAACAACAAAAATACAGGGCACAAACAAATTCTAACAACAAAAGGCTTTTCATTTCAACTTATTTCTTTTGTGCTTGTTTGGAATTTATTACGAAGATGAACTCCCCAACAAACATCACCCTATACTTCCTCCAGGTGTTTCAGTGATTACATGTATGTAAAATATAACATGATAGATCACCTTTATGTGTGTGTGAGTGAATCCCAATTTACATGCAAATTTATATGCGTGTGCACCTATCTGAACAAAACAAATAGGCGTACGCGTGTTTGTTCCCTACATATTAATTTTATAGGCTCAATTTGCTCTGCATGGAAGTTAATGTAAAGGCTAACATGAATTCAGAAGTGTGTTTTACAGTAGCTTGACAAAACAGTACTCGATTAATTATCGAATATCACGAGCGCATAAACAATGCTTTATCTATAAGAACAGTTTTAGAAAGAAGTACAAAATAATTCTTTCCGCATGTTTAGTTTATTAATTGGTCCATTTAACTCGTGAACTATCTACCACGTGTAGAACGAGGAAAGAAAACCTTCTAAAATTACACCATCTATAAAATAAAATTAGAAAAAAAACATTTCAACAGAAAAATAGAGTCACCTCAACAGGGTTAGTTCCAACATCAACGACAACAGCATCAGGCTTTAACCAACTACCACGAACCAAATTTGGCACGCCAGCAGCTGTAACTAAAATATCAGCTTCACGGGTAATTTTTTCCAAGTTCTTTGAATATGCATGAACAACAGTCACTGTGGCATGGTGCCTCTGCCCAAGAATTGTAAGCAATTGCCAATTCTTATCATGATAGAAAGGAAGAATAATAGAGAGGCAAAAGAAATATAATAAACGATATTTGCCTGAAGGAGCAAGGATGTAGGCAATCCAACAATGTTGCTCCTACCAATCACCACAGCATTCTTCCCCATAATCTCAATACCAGACTGCAGGAGCAACTCAATACAACCCTTTGGGGTACAAGGAATGAACAATGGCTCCATTCCTTGCATGGCCAAATTCCCAATGTTGAGAGGATGGAAACCATCGACATCTTTATCTAAGCTTATGCCACTAAGTATGTTAGCCTCGTTCATATGCTGTTCACATTAATTGTCAGCAATTTTAACTATTAGTTATATGATTTGACCATACTGCATTTGAGTGAATCAAGAATAGTCTAAACAGTACAATGGCATAACAGCAGTCTTAAGTTTTGCAATTTATTTCTGTGCTTTCTTAGTTTAATGCATAACAAGTGATGCTAGCAGTACAGTGGCATAATAGTTCCAAATGCAATAATTCATGATCACCAGAAAAATCCCCATCAAAAGTGCATGAGTAGAGTTGAGGCAACAAAGTAATAATAAAACCACAGAAAGTTCCCACTCGGCCAGAGTTTAGTTAAACACGCTCAGATTATAGGCTTTTGTCTAAACACAATAATCCAACACACAGTAGAAATACTTACATGTGGCAAGGGAAGCTGGACAAGAATGCCATGAATTGATGGATCCTCGTTAAAGCTACACAAAGCATTACAAACTTCCCGTTCAGAACAATTTTCTGGAAGCGATACCATCTTGTACTTGATACCGACTTCTTCACTAGCAATAATTTTGTTGTGCACATATATCAGTGAATCTCTTCGGTGACCCACTAATATGACAGCCAAACCGGGAACTCGCCCTATTAATTCCTTCATTCGCCTTACTTCAGAAGCTATGCTAGACCTTATTTTCTCAGCAATTGATTTCCCATCAATTATTGTGGCAGTCGAGTCCTTTTCTGTCATAAATCAATTAAAGTGGCATTATTTCGTAACCTTTTTGTGCTCCACAAGCATACAAGTGACAAGACCGGACAAGCATTACACATGAATATTCTCGATGGTGCCTATGACCTGTATGTGTTCCTGTTGTCCAACCGTGTACATACCTCTTTGACCGGCCCTAATCTGGGGAAAAAATATTGCGGCCAAGTGGAGTTATTTGTTTGAACCATTTCAAGAATTTGTTCGTGACCAACATAACATTAGCATTAACATTTTTCTTCATCTCTTTGAGTTTACAGGAATCAATTCTTGAATTTCAAGAGCCTTTACTACCATGTCCAAGTGCCTTCACTACCATTTTTGAGGCCAAGAAGAAAATGGACATGGTAAAGAAGGCTGGATACAGTGAAACTCGAGGAGATGCATAAAAAGGTCAAATATAATACTTGTTGGTCACGGGCCAAATTCTTGAAATGATCCCTACGAACAACTCCTCCTAGCCTCAATATTTGTTGTCCATCTTCCACTGGCTCCTTCAGAGTTCTGGAGGCCTTTTCTCTACCCGTTTATCAAAGAGGCATGTCGAGACCTATTTTACGGCATAGACCAATAGGCACATACAGGTTGGGGACATAACCAAACAAGTGTTGTATCATTCCAGTCTTATACTTAACTAAGTAGGGCAAGTAAAATCTAACAGAAAGGTGTAAGTCGAAAATATGTGATCAGAATAGAAGAAAATATTCGAAATTTTAATTCTTTGACATGTTTGAAAGGTGATTGTCCTGTGACAAATGGAGCAAAATCTCAATAGGTTTCACTAACTTAATACATCCAGAAACTAAGCTGCTTACCTTAGATCATTATATTATTATACATCAGCAAAAAACAAATATTCTACATCTCTTGTCGACTGAGGATTCTTACTCATCAATAACTGAGCTCAATGTTACACAATATAACTAAAAGTCCGCAATCGCTTAAGTGAAAGCAATCAGCTACTCTTATCTCATGTAGTCGTGTCCACTGATTTTAAAAGTTAAACCTCATCAAATATAGAACACCATCAACGTTATGGATTTTTCAGTCGTATTACTGTATCAAAAACACAACCACAACAAGCACACACACCTGGAGAAGTACTTACGACATTCCCCGATAGATGAATGTTCAGATTGCTGGGAAGCAGAAGACCATGAATCTGCAAGGTCGAGTGATAAAAGAGAGGGGGACTTTATTATATAACTTAAAGCCCGTGATGTCGATGGAGTTAGAAAAGTTTTAATCAAACTAGTTGTCTGCAGAGCTGCTCGAATTGGAACCATTATTCCTCTAGGTCTCAAGCATGATATCTTTTAAACTGGTACGACATCTTTATGCTGCATTCTTTAGCTTCCTGGTCAACACTATGGTTCAGCTCTGTCAAGTTGCTGCAGGAAAGAACATAAGACATGGTAGATAAGTAATCGAATTTGTGGGCCACCTGATAACAAATGGATTGCATGAAGAAAAATAGGAAATATGTTATTGTGCTGGAGATAACCATCAACAAGATTAGAGTACTACTTTACTCACTGTGCCAGTTCTACAGAAAATTAATGTAAACCTCGTCATCACTTGTCTGTATGGAGTTGGAACACCCTTCATAGTATAGACTAAACTCATAAACTTTAATCCTCTGTTCCGGGAGCCAAAACAGAGACACCACTCACTGTATGGCGTATGCTTCAAGTGTAATAAGTTACCGCATGGGTTTTTATCAGCTAGTCAAAAAGCTTTTCTTATAATCTGAGTTATCCATTGTTATATCTTTATTCGCGCTTGACTAGTTTAGACGTGAGGTTTTCCACACTATAATCGACCACTGATTTGTTATGTGTTCGAACTAAAATCATCTGAACAAATAGCATGACATGATCATATAATGGCCTTCGGCATACAAAAAATAGCCAGGCAACTTGGACCCAAAACTTTAAGTTTCGGCCTGTTCTAGGTAAAACTTTAAAACTCTTGCATTTGTCGTGCGGTTTAATATCTGCAGTTTCTAAACTCCACACGAGTTCATATATAAACTCTTTAAACTAACATATTTTGAGTCTTTGACACAAACAAACAGTAGCACGGTAACACCTCACTCCTCTATATACAATCATCCAAACAGCTCGAACGGACCATGAATATTTCAGTAGTTTAGGCAAACTCACAAAACAAAACGAACTCAGCGGAACTTCAGAAAGCCTTAGCCGATGGCTATTTACAATTTTTTTAACAAATAAAAGGATAGCTGAACCAGACATGAAGCACAAATAAAAAGCCAAGCTCTAATACCTTAGCGGCATTGGTTCGCCATATTCTACCTGATTCACCACAACCTGAAGCGCGCCGGAGGTTATGCCGGATTTTCGTGTCTTAAATGAAGGGACTTTCGGAATCTCCCTAGGTGTTGGAAACAGGTAAATGGGTATGGTATATAAGCAAGTTACTCCTCGAGGAGACCGCACCGTCTTTCCGGATTCTAAAAATAGGAGATTAGCAACATTTATTAATCACTTTATGAAGGGGAATTCTTTTCAAGTTCAAAATTAGTGCCTAGGGGTAAATAATATTAATAATTATAAATTAAAAATTATTGTTAAATAATATTATATTTTAAAAAAAATATATATATAAGCAAATTTAAATAAAATTTTCCAAAAAAGGAATATAATTAGTGAGAATTATTTATTTATTTTAAAAAAAAATAACTGGACAAAAATAATAAAAAATAAGGAGTGGAAAAAAATAAAAATGACGTATTGTATAAATCCGTTTTTTCTTTAAAGACGAATTTCTTGAATTTGTTTTTTCAAGTAAAACGTATTAAATTTATCTGTTTTACTAAAAGATAATTAATTAACATAATTAATATAATTAAGTTGATTAAATTAAATAAAAAACGTATTATTTTAATACTCTTTATAATTAAAATTATTTTATTAATTATAAAATGGATTATTTTTATATGTTTTTTAAAAAAATTAATTTTAAAATTATTAAAAATAAATTTTCTGCGGAAATATAAAACGTATTTGTCAAATACGTTTTCTGTGTAATTTTTCCCCCAAAAATTGATTTTGCCCTAATTTTGACCTAATTTTGCCCTAATTCTTCATAAAACGGATTTTAAGAATCCGTTTTTCTCTGCAGAAAAATGCAAAATATATTTTTGGATCTATTTCACAACCTGTTCAAGCAACTAATATGAATCAATTCGCCCAAAATAATCCAACATACAGTATAATTTATTCAAAACACAAATATGAGTATACAAAATGAAAAAAAAATTAACAAATATGTTCACAAAATTCCGTGAATACAATACAAACTAATTCGGAGTGTATCGATTCGTAGGATTGCGTTGTCGTTGGCTGATCCGACGTTGTGGTCGTCGTGAAGAAGACGATGCTGTGGGCGTGACTGGTTCTTCTTCTTCTTGTTCTTCTTCACCTGAATAAATATTTTTTTTTTTTAAAATCACAATAACTAAATAAATAAAATTATTTTTTTTGTTAAGTTAAAAATTTTCACCTTCTTCCTCTTCCTGAGGACTGGTGTCGGCAGCGGGTTGGCGGTCGCGTCGTCTTCTACCTCCACCAATGTTGGCAGCAGGTTGATGCCTCGCCCGGTGTGACTGCGTCCTCTAGGATCGGATGTAGCTCTCCTCCGTTAGAACTTGGCTCGACGACGGCCCTTGTGCGACATCTCCGCCTCCGACAGTCATAGAACTGTAGAGAAGGCTCTTGGCCTGTAAGACTGCGGCCTGCACCTCTGGAGGGAGTGTATGAAAGAGGTGGTCAACATTCGTTAACGTGTGATAAGCTCCCTCCATGGCGGTAGCCTGAAAATTAAATTCGAAGTCAATTAGAATGAAACACAAACTAAAAAAAAAATAAAAAAAAAAATAATAATAGTAGAATAAAAAACAAAAATATATATTACTTACGTCGCACTTTCCCTGCTCGGCAAGTGGGTGAAAGCCTCTGTCCGGTTTGGGCCACCGCGTACTTGGCAGGGTCACCGAGTAGTCTCACAGTGATACTGTGAAACCAATCAAGGTAACCCGCCTCAGGGTCATTGAATGACTCCACAGGGAATGTTGGGATGACATTTTAGTCTCTATGTTCGACCCAAGCACTCCCAAGCTCTCCGTAAAAGGTCACCCAGTAAAAAACTTCCATCTCGGTCATTCCTTGGCCTCGATGGTGTCTCTGATATTCGGTCTCAGTCGGAATGATAGGAGGTTCGGGGGTGGACTGCCGACACCCGAACTGACGGGGGACCCTATCAGGCATGTGGACTTCACGGACGTTCCAGTTGAAGATCCACCCCTTATACATCCAGAGGTGTGAACCTTCTGTACACTGGGCTGGGAGAGCATTTCCTTGCAGGTGTCACTGATAGGGTAGCCATTCGAACTGAAAAAAAAAATAAAAAAAAAAATAATTAGGAATTAAGTTATAAAAAAATTAAAACAAACAACAAACAAAAATAATAATAATAATCTTACATCTGTCTCTGTGAGCCCTGTCAGTTGATCCCGGGTGGTGGTTGTTCCCTTGCCCAGGTGTATTGTGCTCCTCCTTCCCACCCACCTTAAAAATCACAGTAAAAAAAAATTGTAATCACAAAATTTAATAGTGGAAATAAATAAATATTAAATATAAATAAATTTTATTACCTTCCACCTAGGGGACATCCAGGGGCTCTCTCAAAGTTCGTATCCCTCATTCTTGGGCGAATACGAGGGATACGTTCATATGCCCAAACCTACACATATCGACATATTCATTTGTTATTAGATATTAGTCTAAATTAAAAAAAAAAAATGAATTTTGAAATAACAAGCAAATAAATTTACTTGAATCAGTTGGACACAGTTCCTGATCCAGTTTTCCCCGGACTTGGCGCTCGTGCAGAGCGCTCTATACACTCCGGCCAGGACCCCCGAACTCCAGCTGTACGTCTTGATCGTATCGATGTCGTGCAAAAGCTGCAACCAGTAGAGGTTCACTCCATTGTCCCTCTAGTCGGGGAAGAAGAAGCAACCGATGCACCAGAGTATAAGGGCCTTCGCCCTCGACTCGTAGGTGAAGCAATTCTATCCATCAGCTAGTTGTCAGTTGCACTCCTCTTCTAACGCATAGGCCTTCCAATACTGGCCTGTAATGGCCCAAGTCCTGGGGTCTTGAACCGGTTCATCGGCATTCTGAGAGTGGTTTATATATATTAAAAATTAGTGAATGGAGTAAACATAAATAAATTAAAAAAAAATGTAAGAAAAAATTTACCTGAACATAGGGCTCGAACCCTAGCTCATCATTACAAATTTCTTGCCATTTAAGGGGCGTGTTATCTTGAGTCGCTCCCCAACAAGGCTCTCCATCGATCGGGAGACCAAAAAGGACTTGTACGTCCTGCAGTATGATGGTGGCCTCCTCGATGTCAAAGTGGAAGGTATGCGTCTCCGGTCGCCACCTTTCCACTAGACACGTGACGAGGTTGTTGTTGGTCATGACTCTGCCCATTCGAAACAGCGGGCCAAACCTCGTCCTCTCGATGGCATCCCAAACTCTGGGATGCTGGTGATCCAACGCCTTCCAGAACTGAGTGTCGAAACGGCGGGGTTTAATGACGCCGTCACGACATCCGTCTATATCTTCGAATAGTGCATTCGACCGGTGACAGTACTGAAGATATAGAACGGACGGATCTCTCGGACCGGGATGTACACTGAAGCGCTGCGGTTGTGAGGACGACGAAGATGCCATTGTCTGCCAAAAAAGAAAAACAATCATTATAATATACTACATACTACGAAAAAAAAAACAATAATTAATCAAATTACAATAATACAATTATATTCACACAAAAAAAAAATCACAAAAACACAAATAAATGAAACAAACAATAAATTCACAAATTTAAAAATCATATACACAATAATTCGAAAATAATCTCTATTCGAAAATTCGACTCCAACAATTCAACTTCCGACAAAATAATCCCTAAACATATTATATGAATTCACAACTAAATTCACCTCATCACAATCATCACAAATTCACAATATGTCAACAATATGTACAACAACCCCTTTGAGGCATTTTATCGAACACGTTCAAATCATATATTTCCAAGCAAACTACAAAACCCTAATCAATTTCCAAATAACCAATCAATTTATCACCAAGCATATATAATCAAACAACCCATCAACATATTTCAATCCATAACTCAATCCAATTAAAAACCCTAAATTTAGCTCTAATTCGAAATTATTGAACAATTGAAAAAATGAAAGAGTAATAGAAGAAACGTACCTAATAGACGGGAAGGAGGCGCGGGGGCAGTGCAGTAGGCGGCGACGGGCGGATTTTTTTTTTTTTTTTTCTTCCCTTTGGTTTCTGTTCTGTTCGCGTAGGGAAGAAGAGGAATTTTTTTTGGTTTTATTTATTTGTAAAACGGATTCATTGAATCCGTTTTATGCTTTTAATTATTTTAAAAACGGATTTGGTGAATCCGTTTTATAAATGCAAAAAAATTGGTAAGAGGATCCCAGATTCGGGGCTCGAATCCGGGCTCGAGTGAGTCCGTTATCTCTGGGGGCACCTCGTTACCATTAGGCCGCGCTAGGCTATCGTTGATATTTTTGCACAACTTTTGTTCTTATCCTACAACATCAAGATTTTTTATAGTATATAGTATTGTTAATATATTATATATACATATATATTATAATTTGACATATAGTATATATTATATAGTATATATTATATTATATATTATAACATATAAACTATAAAGTATAACATATAAACTATAAACTATATAAATTATATTATATAGTATATAGTATATATTATATAGTATATATTATATATTATATACTATATAGTATATATTATATAGTATATATTATATTGCATATAGTATATATTATATTATATAGTATATATTATATATATTATATAGTATATATTAGTACAATTGAACTCGAATTAGTACAATTGAAGTCAATTATAGTGAAATCTAAATCGAATTAGTACAATTGAAGTCAAATTAGTACAATCTCAGTCAATTATATTGCAATTGAACTCGAATTAGTACAATTGAACTCGAATTAGTACAATTGAAGTCAATTAGTACAATTAATGTCGAATTAGTACAATTATCAAACAAATTAGTACAATTGAAGTCGAATTAGTACAATTGAAGTCAATTAGTACAATTAAAGTCGAATTAGTACAATTATCAAACAAATTAGTATAATTGAAGTCGAATTAGTACAATTAAACTCGAATTAGTACAATTGAACTCGAATTAGTACAATTGAACTCGAATTACTACAATATGTTATATGTTATATGTTATATACTATATATTATATACTATATATTATATGTTATATGTTATATATTATATACTATAAAAAATCTTGATGTTCAAGGATAAGAACAAAAGT